TAATCCACTTTTTTATACTTTTATTCCTCCTCTGATCCTCAAGGCAGGCATTATTATTGGCATTATTTTTTATTTTATGAATGAGGTACCATTTATCACGCGCTTGCTTTAAGTCAGACCCTATACTAGCTTGCTTAGCCAGCCCTGGAGCATAATCCACTTTTTTATACTTTTATTCCTCCTCTGATCCTCAAGGCAGGCATTATTATTGGCCTTATTTTTTATTTTATGAATGAGGTACCATTTATCACGCGCTTGCTTTAAGTCAGACCCTATACTAGCTTGCTTAGCCAGCCCTGGAGCTATCACTGATTTTTTTATCTGTTTCTCACCCCAGCCCTGTGAGGTCGCCATTATTATTGCAGTTTTCAAACGAGGAAACTGAGGCACGGTGGTTGAATAATTTGTGCAAGACCACCTAGCAAACCTGCATTCTTAATGATGTATATAGAAGAGATTTGCCCCAGGTCACAAGGTGAAAAAGTACCAGGTTCTGAACCAAAGAGCCTGGCCTTTCATTCTCATCCAATGATGTTTCTGCCTTCCTGGGAGTTTGCAGGGTAGTTTTCAGAATCCCCCAAACCCTGATCTTCCAGGGGAGAGAGGGCAAGCCATGCTATTGGCCTTAACTCACTGCTACTAGAAGAAGCTGGCAGTTTCAAAGAACCTTCTCCAGCCCTTTTTCACCACCCTGTGCCCTGTCTGGTTAGGGGCCAGAGAGGAGTGTGTGACCCCCGGTGGGGAGCAGCATGCTCTGGAAGGGCCTGACGTTCCCTGCCTTGCTCTGCCCAGTGTTTGAGAACAGCAGCAAGATCGTGATCGTCATGGAGTACGCCAGCCGGGGTGACCTGTATGACTACATCAGTGAGCGGCAGCGGCTCAGTGAGTGTGAAGCCCGGCATTTCTTCCGGCAGATCGTCTCTGCCGTGCACTACTGCCACCAGGTGAGCACCCCCCTGCCCCAGCCATGTTCCGAGGGGTGGCCCCTGGGGCTCTGGGGCTGGTTTGGACCAGAGAGATTCTATGACTTGTCCAGGATCACACAGGGAGACAGAAGCAGAGGCAAGACTGTCTGGACTCTAGACAAGGAAATAAATGTCGGCCTCTCTGGCTTTGAGTCTCTTGGCCAGGGATGGAAGGGCCAGTGATTTCTTGCACTATATACCAGTGCACATTGGTATTGCAGCCTCCCTGCACTCAACCCCAGCTGAGTCCCTTTGTGTTTATCTCCCTGTCCAGGCTAGACCCCGCAGCCCCTTCCCTTCCCTGGTGACCTTGCTCTGATTCTCCTCCCTCCCTCTTTCAGAATGGAGTTGTCCACCGGGATCTTAAGCTGGAGAACATCCTCTTAGATGCCAATGGAAATATCAAGGTGAGCCCCACTTCTTGTTTCCAGAAGTTTCCCCACCCCACCCTAGCTTTTCTGCACTGTCCCTAGCCAAGTTGCTCTAAGTTCTTAGTGGGTTCTGGAAGGAGTGGAGCAAAGCTGAGATTATACGTTGGTACTGGTGGGAACCTCGGCCATCATCCATTCCAACACCTCATCTTATGGGCGGAGAACTGAGGCCTCAGGATGAGGGTGACTTGCACTGGGCTAGAACCAAGGTCTTCTGGCTCCCAGACCAGTGCTCTTTGGAGGTCAAAAGGCTAATGGGAGCCTAGATCTAGGGCTAGCTTTTGCTCACACCCTTGGCACTGACAGGGAGAGGGTCACAGCCTGAGTTCTTCTGCCCACCTGGGTGCATTTTCACACACGTACACACTTATATCTGCTACAATTAGGTAGCCCTTTGGCACCATTTCCCACAGAACAAGCAGTCCAGCACCAGCTTCGTGCTTCTCGCAGCTGCTGGATTCCCATACCTAAGTAGTTAAATTTAGGTCAGTCAAGAGAAGTTTATGTTGATGTGATAAACTCAGACCTCAGGGCTGGAAGAGGAAGATGTCAAGAGCTGGTTCAGGCGGGGAGGTTGGTCTCTGCAGGCCCCTGGGAGGGTAACTCTGCACTCTGACCCTCTTCAGAATCTCCCTGAATTCAGGACATAGACTCTCCCGGTGGCTCCTGACCTGTGCCCCGAGGCACCCTGGTACTGAGGCCATTCCCCTTACCAGCCAGTTCCTGGAGCAGGTGTGGCTTTCTCTGATGCTGACCAGAGGGAGGGAAGCTAGAGCCAATAAATCCACATGACCAGGACAGGCACGCACTTTCATATTGATACTAATCATATGCCTCATTATGGGCTTTGACTAGCAACCACTTGATAAGAGGCCAATAAAACCATAAACTGAGGAGCCAGAGATTCGTAAACAGCTCCTCCCTGGACACACACAACCCTCTGATGGGGTGAAGAGGTGGGGAGCCACAGGGCACCAGTCACAGCCTCTGTGTGAAGACAGGGGAGAAACAGTCTCTCCAGGGAGCAAGAGGGTGGGGTGGAGCCTCTCAAGCCCTGAGTATCACATGGCTCAAGGGGTCCTGAGAGAAGATCCCTTCTCCTGGGCTATCACCATAGTCCTCACCGGTGCTTCTTAACTATACCGTGCTGACCCCAAGCTGTTGCCATCAAGTTCTGCCCAGGCATGGGCAGAGATGAGCCCTTGCTAGGAAAGGCAGCTCAAGCCTGGCATGGTGAATTGGTAATGGGGCTTGCTTGCTTCTGAGGGCTGTGGTGTTGGCATGAGAAGTTGGTTGTCCCCTCCATCTGGTTGACCATCCTTCCAGTCAATAAGTGTCCATTGAGCCTCATCCAGGGTCCCACCTGTGCTAGGAGCTGCAGGAGCAGCAGGGGCAGGGAGGTCAGCATGGGAGTGTACAGGCTGGCTGGGAGGCAGAAGTGACGAGCAGGACCTCCAGGGGGCTTCATAGGAGAAGGAGGTCTCGGGACAGTGGAAGGCTTCCTGGGGAGGTGGGCTTGCTAGATCAGGAGGATGTGCAGATGTCAGAGAGAGAATCCCAGGAGTGGAAGTACAGTGTGAGCAAAGGGCCAGGGGAACAGTGAAGATCCTGGAGCCCTCCCATTCCTCTGCCATGGCTCTTTTTTCCAGGGCCTGAGCTGCACTGACAGTGCCCCATGGGGGGAAGGGTCTGGGGACTCTTTCCTTCTCTCCTGCTGGGGTCTGGGATTCCCCAGGGTCTGGAGAGGGGCAGGCTGAGAGCTGCAGAACAATGCAGGCCCTGGTATGACCCATGTCCTTGTTTGCCCCAATCCTGCAGATTGCTGACTTTGGCCTCTCCAACCTGTACCACCAAGGAAAGTTCCTGCAGACGTTCTGTGGGAGCCCACTCTATGCCTCACCCGAGATCGTCAATGGGAAGCCCTACACGGGTCCAGAGGTAAGTGGCCTCCATCCTCTGCCAGCCTGCCTCAGTCATTTGCTATGACTTTAGATCCTGTGAGACAGATGGGCTGGTTTTCTAGTTACTTCCTTTTTCAGAGCACAAACCTCAGGACCCCAAAGTGAGTTGCCAGGCCTCTTGCTAGGAGTGGTGAAACTGAAACTAGAACTTAGGGCTCCTGACTGCCAGCTTTTCCTCTGCCCCCATCACCTTCCTTGTTCCCATCGCCTTTCCTGGCACCCAATCCAGCCTCCTGGAGTGATGAAGAGATGGTGTCTGTCATAACCACCCTACCCTGGTGCGGAAGGGATGACCTGGCTACTGCTCTTGTGCTGGTGGCTGTCCCTCCCAGGGACCTCAGCCCCTTCTTCAGTACCCCTCCTTTGCCCCTGAGTATGAGAGGGTGGTCCTCAGATGCCCTGTCCTCCCTCCAAGTTCTCCAATGTGTACCCTTTTCTTCTCTGGTATTGGTGGTGAGGCTGGCAGCCCTCCAGCCTGTGGCATATGGGCATCCTTGCTGACCCGCCTCTCTTGCAGGTGGACAGCTGGTCCCTGGGTGTTCTCCTCTACATCCTGGTGCATGGCACCATGCCTTTTGATGGACAGGACCATAAGACGCTGGTGAAACAGATCAGCAGCGGGGCCTACCGAGAGCCGCCTAAACCCTCTGGTGAGTGACAGATGTGGGTGTTCTCCTCCAGGCCTGGGGCAGGAATTAAACAGTGGTACTAAGGTAAAGAGGGCAACAGGCCATTGTGACTCACAGGAGATTAGGGTACCCACCCCTGTCATCTCTTCCTTCCCATATGGACTTGCTTGATCACATTTGACAAGTGCTTCCTAAAGTCTCACTTAGAAACTTTTTGCTACAATTGTCTCATTTCCTATAGTTTTTGTCCTTATCCTCAGAAATCTTTTTATCCTTTCACCTGTGATATACAAGGTAGGAAGAAGGAACTGAGAGCCTTAGTTTACCCTTGAGCAAGTCCCTTCCCTCTTCTGTGGAGAAGAAGAGAACGCACACTAACACACAAACGAGGGCAAATGAGGGGGTCACAGTCCTGCAGGGTCCTGGGGACAGAGAGGCAAGACAACTGGGCTGGGGAGCTGGCCTGGGCTGTGGCGCGTATGGAGCCCTGGGGGGGGGGAGTGGACACAGATGACCCAGGAGTGAGTAGCATCTTAGCTCAAATGGGGGTGAGCCAGTGAGAGGGGACTGTGGGTGCCACTCTCGCAGCTGCCAAACTGAAGCCCTTGCCTGTTATCTTCCAGATGCCTGCGGCCTCATCCGGTGGCTGCTAATGGTGAACCCCACCCGCCGGGCCACCCTGGAGGATGTGGCCTGTCACTGGTGGGTCAACTGGGGCTATGCCACCCGTGTGGGGGAGCAGGAGGCTCCGCGGGAGGGTGGGCACCCTGGCAGTGACTTCGTCCGGGCCTCGGTGGCTGACTGGCTCCGGCGCTCGTCCCGCCCCCTCCTGGAGAACGGGGCCAAGGTGTGCAGCTTCTTCAAGCAGCATGCGCCGGGCAGTGGGAGCACCGCCCCTGGCCTGGAGCGCCAGCATTCGCTCAAGAAGTCCCGCAAGGAGAATGACATGGCCCAGTCTCTCCAGGGCAACCCAGCCAACGACTCCTCCCCTCGCCCTGGCAAGAGCAACCTCAAGCTGCCAAAGGGGATTCTCAAGAAGAAGGTGTTGCCCTCGGAGGGGGCAAAAGAGGACCCTCAGGAACCCAGCCTTGTCCCTGTGAGCCCAGGGCAGGCTGGCCCCCTGCTCCCCAAGAAGGGCATCCTCAAGAAATCTCAGCAGCGCGAGTCTGGCTACTACTCCTCTCCTGAGCCCAGTGAGTCTGGGGAGCTGTTGGATGCAGGGGACGTGTTTGTGAGTGAAGACCCCACGAAGCAGAAGCCACCCCAGGCCTCGGGGCTGCTCCTCCGTCGCAAGGGCATTCTCAAACTCAACGGCAAGTTCTCCCGCACCGCCCTGGAGCTCACAGCCCCTGCCACCTTTGGCTCCTTGGATGAACTGGCCACACCTCGCCCCCCAGCCCGGGCCAGCCGTCCCTCAGGGGCTGTGAGCAAGGACAGCATTCTGTCCTCTGAGTCCTTTGACCAGCTGGACTTGCCTGAACGGCTCCCTGAGCCCCCACTTCGGGGCTGTGTATCTGTGGACAACCTCATGGGGCTTGACGAGCCCCCCACAGAAGACCCTGGAAGCTGCCTGAGGCGCTGGCGGCAGGATCCCCTGGGGGGTCTTCGGGGCTGTGTATCTGTGGACAACCTCATGGGGCTTGAAGAGCCCCCCACAGAAGACCCTGGAAGCTGCCTGAGGCGCTGGCGGCAGGATCCCCTGGGGGGGGATAGCTGTTTTTCCCTGACAGACTGCCAGGAGGTGACAGAGACCTACCGACAGGCACTGGGGGTCTGCTCAAAGCTCAGTTGAGGGTGGAAGGGGTTCCCCGGCTGGGCAGACTCTGCACCCCTAGGGGAGAGTGCCTTCTCCCCTGCCCCCGAGGACCAGTGTCCCAGCTCAGGAGGCTAAGATGGTTTGCAAGGGAGCCCTGGGGAGGATGTGGGAAATGGGCAAATGGAGTTTGCCCAGGGTTCATGTCTTTGGCCCTAGTGAGCCAGGAAGATAATAGAGGGGGAAAGACTAAAGGAGTGGGGGAATGGGAAGGCCTGTGGCGAGTCCAGATAGCCTGTTTCTTGTACAGATGATGGGGATGCAGAGCCCTGGAGAGAGCCTCTGTCAGTGCCTATCTCCTTTATTGCCATGAACAAGTCATGCACGGTGCCTTGCAAGCACAGCCCCTTCCCTACTCATTCCCTGCCACAGTGGTGATGGACAGTCTTCACACACACCCCTCCCCATCAACCACCAGAACTGGAATATGTGACACCTCTGATGTGCCTGGGGTGTCCTGGGAATGGTCTGGAGTAACCCTTCCTTATTTATCCCCAGGAATGAGAGAACACAAGCTCTGTTCCTCAAAGGTTCTCTCCCCTTCCCCATCCTCCAAACCAGGCCTGAGCCTCCTGGAGTCGCTGCTATGAATCTAAAAGACTTGAAAAGGCTCAGGCTGCTAATGGACTTCATCTCAAGGGGCCCAGACTTCTCTGGACCCCACCTTGGACCTCAAAGACTGGGAACGTGTGCCTCTAAGCTGCTCCTGAAGTCTAGTCTATGGATGTGTCTGTTTCTCGGGGCTTTCAGGACTCTAGAATGACCTTATTTATTTTTATGTTCTTAACTCTGTTTTAAAAAAGTGAATCTTGCTGTTTTCAATAATGTGAATGGTGTGTTCTGGGGAATCCACTATGACATCTAAGTTTTGTCTAAAGAGATTTCTGCAATGATTCTGCACTGATCATGGGGTAAGGGTGATCTTTTGCAAATCCACATGCTCCATTGCACCGTCTGGAGATGGGTCTCTGGTTCCCCTCACTCCACACCCCGATTCGGTCTACCTGACAGTCCCTCTTCCTTTCCTCTATAGCCAGGAAGAACCGCTCCATTAAAACCAGCATGGTGACTGGAAAACAGCCTTTGTTGTTCTCTTTGGGGGGTGAGGAAGGTGGAGGAGGCACAGGTCTTTGAGACTTCTCTTAATACACATTCCCCCTGGGCTGCCAGGGGTGGGAAACAGGGAAACTGCTTAAAACAAAACAAAAAACGCTGAGCTCTTAGCACTGCAAGGTGCCCCGTTATACCTGCATCAGTAGTTCTGACCCTATTAAGCATGCAGGTGGGAAAGCCCTGGTCCCAGGGTCCCTGTTTGCTCTTCCTGCCTTTAGCATTCCGGGAACAACAGGGTTTGGTAGATTGTCCGGCCCCACCCCCACCGTTTTCCCCTTTGCCACCCCTTCCTCCATCAGCCTGAAGCCCTACCCCCTGCTGCTAGAAGTCACCCCCATAGCCTTTATTCTCTCCCTCCAAAGAAATCTTTCCTTCAGTGATGGGCAGCTTCTCTGCCCTCCGCCCCCACAGCCAGACTCCTAGAGGAAGTAAAGAATGCCTGGAATGTCCACCCCCTCTCAGAGGCCAGCCCCCTCAGCCTCCTGCAGAGCATTCCCCACACGCCTGCTCCATTGAGAAAGTCCCAGGCTCCCAAGGCTGGGATGAAAGGGAGGATGAGGACAAAGTGCAGGCCGGCTGGCTCCAGCTTCAAGCAGGCTCCCTCCCCCACCCGACCGCTCTGGTATTCACAGGCCCCCAGACATCCCAGTTCTGGCCAGCTCCGGCTCCAGCTCCCTGTCGACACAACACCTGCCCTACCAGCTGTGGAGCACTGGACCTTCCCTCTCTGCACCTGGAGAGCTGCAAAGTCACTGATTCTGGGGAAGAGAAGGGGAGAATGAGGCAACTATGGGCCAGGATGGGAGAGTGAACAAAAAATTGCTTAGGCAACAGCTGGGGTCTGATGTCTCTGAGGTCCTACTGTGTGCTGGAACTCTATGCTAGACCCTGGGTAAACACTGGAAAAATACAGGGGAGGGTTTTTACCCTCAAGCAGCACAGGGTTAGCCTTGGAGTTAGCAGTGCTCATTTATGCATTCCACTCATGAATCAAACCCGATTGTGTTTTAAGCTCTGTGGAAGACAGCGTTAATTGCTGTTTAGCCTCAAGGAAGTTGCAGACTGGAGGGCAAGGTAGCCTGCGTGTAAATAAGTGAAATTCAATGAGAAATCATTATCAGTTCAGGTAATTTTGAAGGGCAGTTTGGATAATGGAAAAAAGAATTGCAACTTGGAAGGTAAAAATAGAGGGGGTACCTCGTATTGGGCACTTCATGTGTGTTATTTAAAGCTCATAATGCTCA